CTTCCTATAAATGTGATTCTCTTGTAGTCATCACCTTGCCCAATATAAATATCAAAGACCATTTTAGATGCCTTAGTCTCACTCATGACCACACTTTCATTAGGCCTATTTTTTTTTTCCTTTGACAGAGAACATCTTCCACTATGTCACAAATATCCCTGCCCAACTCATTCCGATGACCATTTTACTAACATCCTGCTCTTTGTTCCCACCTGCTTGCCAACAACCAACCCACTGGGCTTGTATAGTCATTTTAAATTGCAATATACAAATACAATCATATCTTCCCCTGCTTAAATTTCTTGATGTTTCACTATAACTTAAAGAAAAACATCCAAACTCTATAACAGATCAACCAGAACTTTTCAAGATCTATGACACCTCTTCCCCATCAATGTCTCTCCTAACATTATCATATACAAACCACTCCCACACCACTGAGCTTTTTCTATTTCCCAAACTATCCTTGCTACTACAAACCACACGTTTCAGAGTCATTTACTTATCATGTAATTCAATCTCAACATTTGAAGTAGGGCTGGAAGAATTTTACTGTTCTTATTTACCAGTGTGTCGAAGCTGAGACTAGATGGAGAGAGTTGGCCAACATTATACAAATGCTCATGAGAAATATACCCAGGTGTTCTGATTCTAGAACACTCAGGCATCCCCTTGGATTCTTTCCCTTTGTTAAGCATAGAACCCAAACTGAGCTTTTCAGTTCCAGAATTTCATTATATTTTATCTTATTTTTTGTCTTTCAAATGTTATTCCCATTCCCTGTGCCTGTACCACTCTCTATGGTCTTGATTACTATATCAGTTGACTTTACCATGCAACTTTATGTTTAATTACATTTTGTGCTTTTGCATATATTTACTTCATGACTCCCCATCTAGGTAAGGACTGTTCAAGAATTTTGCACAGGGCTTCGTTGGAATTCAATTATTATTGCTTGGTTAGTTTTTAGATTCTCTCCCCCAGTGGTCTTTTAGTTTTCAACTGTAAAATTTCCTATATAGCACAAACATTATATGTTGTTTTATATTAGAACATTGTAACAGTTTCTCTTCTTGCCATATTACAATATACTAGAATATTGTGGTCAGTTATATGACTTGAAAATATATCGCTAAATATGTTAGAGTTTGTTGCCTCTATACAAACTATCAGTATTTATATAATTATATGTGGAAGAACTAGGCATTGTTCCTTAATGTATATAATTTGGTGATGGCGGTGCGAGAATGATTTTCTGTCAAGTAATTATAGTGACAATTAAAATAGACCTTTACTATGAGTTCACTCACACAATTTTTCCAATTCCAATAATAGACAGTTTTTAACTGTCTTTGTCTGGCATTTTCTGACAGTATCTTACATCTCACTGAGCATAAATCAGAGTTGAAAACATCTCATTTCATCAGTCACTGCTTTTCTGACGGTTTATATAGAACTTTTATTTGTGCCAAGTGCTTTAATATTTTAATAGTGGGATTTTAATAGTTCTCTCTCACAAAATCCCCATGAACTAGAAAACAGAGTATGACTTTCTATAGATAAGGCAAAATACTAAGCTATTCATCAACTATCAACTTCAGGCTAGAACTCACAAATCCCAAACCTGTCCATTTCTTGGTTCATTACACTGTGGGGATATACATATCTTCTCCTTTCTATGTTATTTCTTAATATCAGTGTGTCAATTTAAGATTTTAATCTCTCAATCATAATTAAAACTTGCATTTGAGACATGCAGGGGAGTTTATGAAAAAAAGTCATGATTAAAACTCTAAAACAGGTGCAAATTAAAAATTATATAAGGGGCGTCCCCGGTGGCGCAGCAGTTGAGCGCTGGGCTGAGAAGCTGCCCGCAGCCTCTGCAGCGCCGGTTCGATCCCTGGCCGCCGGCAAGGGTCCCACATGGTGCGCAGACCTCTCCTGCTGCCCTCTGCTCCTCTCAGCAGTGTACTTTGTCATTCTGCCTGTTCTGCTCCCCACTCTGGCTCTGGTGAATTCTCTCACCCTCCCGTGCTTCTGACTGTACCCAGTGCTTGTATAAATAAATAAATAAATCTAAAAAAAATTATATAGGAAAGTTGATTATTAAATGCCATGAAAATCTATGGAACTATGTCAGAATTTATTCATGGGCATTTAAAATGGCACTGAGCATAAGGTATTAACAGTTTATTCTCTGCTTTGGAACATGCCAAGAAGCTTAACCAGTGATGTCTATACTTGCTTCTTAACTCCCTCATATCTGCCACCTTCTTGCTCAGTGTATTAGTCAATAGCCTTTCATTGACTGGCATTCCAAATGTTGGTAAAATGATTGCATCTGTGTCAAAAGGATATTTTAGTTGCTCAACTTCAATTTAATATTAACAATCAAATATTATTTTAAAAATTATTTTAAGATAATGACCTATGCAGATGGCTAGCTAATTCATGTGACCATTGAAACTTAATTTTCAAATGGATCCTTGGTCATTTTTCTTTGTGACACTTTTAAAAATTCTTTTCATCACTAAAACCTATTGAAGAAATCCCCTGATATTTTTATCCAGGAAGATTTACAAGAAATGCTCAGAAACACCTGTGTGTACACACACACACACACACACACACACACACCCTCAATTCATCACTGTCTAATGATTGCCTCTAAGCAATTCTTACTCACGAACTAATGGCATTCTGTGTCAGGTAGAACCCATATCTTCACAAAACAGAGCTATGTTGCCTCCAGAATTTTAATTTAAAAAAGTAGTCTTTGTGATTATGTGCATATTCAACAGGTGACATTTGGAAAATGTGAAGCACTTTCTCCAAGAAAGTCTTTTGGAGCAAGTTTTTCTGTTCCCTTCCAGCTACAAGAATGCAAATAATGTTCTGACTTGTACTTACGTTGAGAAGTATGCTTTGGTGAGTGTTCCAGGTAAGAGTGTTAACTTTAAATGCTTAGCTGACGAATCATGGTTGAAGCAAGATTGTCCTAGAAATATAATGAAAGTCATAAATGGAAGCCACATGTGCAATTTCACATTTCTAGTAGCCACACTTAAAAAGAAATATGTGACATCAGTTTTAATAACTCATTTATTGAGCACAATATACCCCAAATATTATCATTTCGACATGCAATATTTATAAAAATCATTGAGTTATCTTATATACTGAGTCTATGAAATCTTTTGTGTGATATGCACTTATAGCACATGGCAATTTGGGCTTTTCACATTTCACCTGCACAATTGCCACCTGTCCTGTATTGGAAAGCTCAGGTCTAGAGTTATTCTTGCCATCCTTCTAAGCTGTAGCAAGCAAAAGCATGCCCATATCAAGATTGGTTTTGAATTTAATGCACAACAGTTTTCACTACAAAAAAGATACCAGCCACAAATCAATCAGTTAACAACTTTGCTAAATAAACAAACAAATCTAGTCTCTGAGACTGGTTCCAGCAATGAAGCTTAATTTTCTAAGCTAACAAAAAAGTTTACTTAAATAATTGTCATTGAATCACTAATTCCACTCTTTTCTTCCCTCTCAAGCAAGCAGAGAGCAACAACAGCAATAAAATGCTATCTAGGTTGTCTTGTAACCATGGTCATACTAGCTCCACATTGACATATCGTCATAGAGATACATGTCAGCACTTAAATGATAGCCACAAAAGAGAAATGGGAACATGTTGGGTGTGATTCGCCAGCCTCAGTGCCCAAGGGCAGAGACTGAAAACCGATGATCTGAGCTAACACAGAAATCACGATTGGAAGATAATTGAATTCACTGTAGTTTGTGTATTTTCCATCTTTTCCTCCCATGCAGAAGTATTGCTCCCAAAACACCTCACTCTGCAAAATAATAGTCTGGAGAAGGAAAATACTTCCTGATTTCATGCTTCATAGTGTTGAGATTGATAGGACTGTAATTTTACCCCAAGTGGAGCAACCACAAATGCTCTTATTTTTCACATATAAATTTTTAATCCCTGCTAGAAACATGCTATGCTACATGCCAGAACAATACCTTAGTATTGTGGATTAGATACATTAATTAAAAGGCAGCACTGCCTAGTTCATTAGGTTGTAGATATAAGGCACTACAAAGATAGTTTTCTGCACTCATAAGCAAGGAGAAAATGGATAACTTAGGAAGTTGTGTTTGGGAAGCTGTAACCAGACATAAATTCAGGGTGTGGTTCAGCTTTCATGTAAGTGGGCAGTTTTTCTGATTTGAGTTAAAGTGTTCAGCAAGTAATTTATCTTCATTCATCTTCATGATCTCTAAATGCATAAAAAAAAGACAAAGGAAAGAGGCAAAAGGAAAAATAAATTGGAAGAGAAATTTGTAAGTTAAAGAAGTCAATTGTACCCATATTCAGATCTGAAAAGAATGACACAGTGGAAGTGGTTTGTCCTTATTACTTTTGTACTCATATTGCTTTTGAAATATGGCCCATTAGCTATTCTGTAATGTCAATATCCTTGAGTGGCAATCTGTTTTTATGCCTATTTTGATGAAATGGAGAAGTGGGTCTCATATCTTTTTTTATTAAAGAGTGAACAAAATATGCCCTGACTTTCTTGAATAATAAGTGTAATAAATTATATGTGGGTGAAACTTTCGGTAATTTTTAATTATATTTAAGTCTTTGATCCTCTTCATTTTAATACAAGAGATAAAGAGAAAACAAAAGACTCAATTTCTATAGAAAGATGTCTTGATAAGTCTGAACTCAGAATCAAGACATTTGGTTGGACACAGGATTAGTTTCTAAGCAGAAATGCATTTTGTGAAAACAATGGAAATTGGGATTGTTCTAGCAATAACAAGAGCAAACACTTGTATAAGCACGTACATCAGGTTCTTATTATTATTCTAAGTGTTTTGTATTATATGAACTTTAATTTTTACAACAACCCTCTGATGTAGGTACTCCTTTTTTTCTTTTTTCATTTCTTGCAGATAAGAAAATATAGGCCCAGAGAGGTTAATAACTTGTTCAAGGCCATTCAGCATGTAAGTTGGGAGTGGAATTCAGAATTCCATGCAGAGGGTGACCTTCAACTGACTCTGCATGGCATGCTCATCATGCACATGGGGGTGTTTCTACAAAGCCCTTAGATAGAAAGTCCTGTTGGTCTTTAAAATAACTTCCTCAATGTATCCCATATTTCTAGCAGAAGAATTTCTTTTTCCAATAAGCATAATTTCCAAGAGGCCTTAGTTAAGTGCAACTATTGGTATTAGCAGAAAGACAATCCGGTAACAAAGCTGTTAAGGAATAGAATCCTAAGCAAGTTGAATTCAGGGCAGATACATATTCAGGTCAGGGAAAGGGATCTAGAAAAATGGGAAATGAACATGAGGATATGGGGCGGGGGGAAGGATAAAGGGGAAAAAAAAAAACAAGTAAAGAGTAAGATATTACCTTGCCATCTACCTATGTAGCCAAAAGTTAATCCTGTCCAAAGCCCAGTAAGACATTAAAAACTCAAACCCAATGAAGATTAAACAAAAAATGAAAGACAACTGTTTATCTAAGCTTCTTAATTTTTGCATTTCTCAATTTTTGTATTCAGTAGATATAATAAAATCATAACAAACATTTTCAACATAAATACACCAAGCTCTCTTCTAAACAGTGTGCTGGTGTTTTATTAAAAGCATGTAAATCTTGTAAAAAGATATTATTAGTCCCATGTTAGAAATGAGAAAATGAAAGCAATATATTTTTCTCACAATTTAAATTCTACAGGGTGTGCAAGATGACATTTTATTTTTTTTTTAAAGATTTATTTATTTATACAAGCACTGGGTATAGTCAGAAGCGTGAGAGGGTGAGAGAATTCACCAGAGCCAGAGCAGGGAGCAGAACAGACAGACTGACGAAATACACTGCTGAGGGGAACAGCGGGCAGCAGGAGTGGTCTGCATGCCAAGTGGGACCCTCACCCAGTGGCCGGGAATTGAACCGGCACTGCAGAAGCTGCGGACAGCTTCGCAACCCAGCGCTCAACCACTGCACCACCAGGGAGGCCGAAGATGACATTTTAAAGGTAAAACTTACTAGACTCAACCAGTAAATAATAGTTTAAAATATTTAAGAGATCATTAAATCCTTAATTTCTCTTCAACATCCCTGCAGTATTTGTTTTCCACAAAAACCACCAGCCTGCCCACTTGGTACTAACATCATTTCTCAAATAAAGAAATCTTGTATCAGAAAGTTATCCTATGGCAGGGAAGGTAGGGAAAGGAAGTTAGAGGAGTAGGGAAAAATTTTATGTGCTATATCATCCTACTATCCACTTTCTCCTTCCCCATTCTCAAAAAGAAATCAATAGTGCAAAGGTACAAACAGTTATGCTTTTAAATTGAGCATGAGAGTTACTAATAATTTAACACCCCACACTTGGTTCATGTGGTTGATTGCAAACCACTTTCCCAAATCTAAGTCAGCGATAGATGAGTCTTCAGGCTCTGAGAGGTAAGGATCAACATACAGTCCCTTCTAAATTCTCCTGAGAGGAAGAATCCTAACTTTTAAGTTTGGCTTCCTATGAAAACTAACTTGGAGTCCCCTTGAAAAATACTATTGTTTGCAATGCAGATTGGCTACTTATGGTCCAATGTTTTGGGCCATTACTTCAGTAGTTGCTTATCTTGTTGGTATCAAACACTCCATAGAGAAAGCTCACGTCATTTACAAAAGAGCTTCTTAGAAAAAGGCACATAGACACATGCACAAATTGTCCTGCAACTTGGGAAATGATTTAGACTGAATGAAGTCTGTATATGTTGTGTCCTCTGTATATGTTGTGTATATAAGATATCATATACACAGATTAAGATCAATTGAGTTAAGCCAACAGCAGTAGATTCTAAGAGTCAGAGGGGTGTGGATGTGTCTTTGAAACATCTAAATTCATGAAACAAGAGCATTTCTAACTCCTAGTTGGATGTTGGATTACAACATAAGAAGCATTTATTTTAAAACCTGCTAGAACAGTAAAGAGAAATTATCTTTTAAGCACCTCACCACTGGCCGTCTTCATTTTACAATGATGTGTCCTTTCCCAGTGTTTTCTCTTAGGAATAGATACAAGAGAATGAATCATGTTCACCTGTAATATAAGGGGGAAAGGATGTTGCTAATTAAGAGCAGGGCAATTCAAACTTCTTCTTAGCCCTGGGGAGGAATACCCAGGTGTGCTGAGACAGATATGCTTGGAAAAAGAAAAAGAGATACTCTATAGTCAAACACACAGCCCTAGCCTTCTTTCATGAATTGATTTTCCCACTGGGTGACATCCTGGCAATTTCTGTTACCTAACCAATGATATAACTAAGTAGATGAAGCTGAAAGCTGGGTCAGATAAAAAAAACAATGTTTAATCTAACAAAAGCAGCCTCAGTCTTTGCCGTGAAGGGAAGCTGATTTAACAGGCAAGAGTAGATTAAATAGGAAGCTGAAACATGGAGAAAAATCATATTAAACCATTAAAATATGAAGATAGAAGAATGTCACAATGCCAATTATTTGGAGAAAAAGCACAACATTACACAGAACTTTCAACAATAAGATAAATGATATCTGCTTTAGATGTACAAAAATAGGTCTTTTGTTCTCAATGTATATTTTAAATTAAATGCTATTGTTTAATTAATAGACTATAACTTCATGAATTAAAAAAAATGCAAGGCCATATGACTACAGTAGACCATAAAGTCACTTCTGAATCTCAGAATAGGAACACTGTTTCAAAGTTTGGAATATAAGCCACCTGTATTTGAATCATGTGGGGTATTTTTAAAATGCACATTCCCAGGGTTCACTGACCTCTGGAATCAAAAACTTAAGGGTGAAGTCTGGGAATCTGCATTTAATAACTTCCTGGGTAATAAATGTACTAAGATATAAAAACTAAAATGTTTGCCCTTGCTTAGAATGCACCAGAAAATATCGTGGAAGGAAGTGGCTCTCATAGAAATGTCCTTTCCCTTTTTTTAAAAATTAATTTATTTATTTATACAAGCACTGGGTACAGTCAGAAGTGCGAGAGGGTGAGAGAATTCACCAGGGCCAGAGCGGAGAGCAGAACAGGCAGCTGACGAAGTACACTGCTGAGGGGAGCAGTGGGTGGCAGGAGAGGTCTGCGCACCACGTGGGACCCTCGCCCGTGGCCGGGATTGAACCGGCATTGCAGAGGCTGCGGGCAGCTTCACAACCCAGTGCTCAACCGCTGCGATACTGGGGAGGCCCGGAAACGCCTTCTTCCACTATTATAGAAAGGATTTCTCTCTTTTAGCCACTCTCCTTCCTCCACACCATTCAAAACCCCTTAGTATTTGTCAATTCCCTCATTCACCCCATTCTTTACCCTACTGACAGTCCAGAATGGTTTCTGACTACACTGAGTGCAAATGAAGGGTGTCCCTAGAGGGAGGAGGGAGAGAACTCCCTATTCCCTTATCTCCCTGTTGCTACTTCCTCTTAATGACACTCACATCCCATCACCCATTCTGGTTCACACACTCTAAGTTCAGCCCTCCATCTCATCCCCAGTACCCTAACTCCTGAATTAGGAGTTAGGAAATTTTTAAATCCAAAGACCCACCCATCTCTCCTTACCTACACATCTAAGTTGGCAAAACAACATGGGAAGGAGCAGGCTTGTACAAATGAATCCTTTTTAAGAATCCCTTCATTTCATCATTTTTAAGTCTATACAATCAAATAAATTCCCAAGGAAAGAGTAAAGACTGTTTGGAAGAAACAAGTGTTAACAAAAAAAGAAAAACTTCAATGTTTGTCCAACTCAGAATAAAGCAGTGGCAGAAGATCTCAGGTAGATCAAAACTGCCAGCAGGAGCTTCTGTTGGGATGAGGCCCCTTGCCTCAACCCCACCCCCAATTTCTTTCTCTGTGTCCTGGCCCTCAATTTTTGCTAATCAAATTGTGCCATCACCACACTGCATGCTTCAGCTGGCAAGACGACTTGGAAGAATTTGGAGGCTATCCAACTCATTGCTCAGTGGGGAGTGGCTAGTTAGGAGTGGGCAGAAGTGTTCTGCCAGCATGAAAAGTCTCCAGTCACAAGGGGAACTCTGAATCTTTTCTTAGAGGACCGTGCTGAGATTCTGGAATTCCATTGGTAGGGGGCCCCAGATCAGATTCTATACAAATTATCAGTTTCTATACAAAGTCATTTCTTAGTCTAAATAGAGTCATCATTTATTCACTCATTTAGGTTACATTTGTGAAATGAGTATCAGTTTTCTGAATTAACAAACTTATCATTACAAATGTTTACATTTTTGGCAATTAAACGTGAATTGTAGCATCATAAACACCAATGGGCTTTGGATGAAAAGAAATCTCAGCTTAAATCAAGCTCTTCACATACTAACTGCATGATTTGAAACAAGTCATTTCGTCTCAGCAGCTTAAGTTTCTGCAACCATAAAATGAGTTTGATAATATCTACCTTGACTGGGTTCTTATGAGGACAAATATTTATTTAACTCTTTTACATAGACCCTGCCCTAGTGGGGAAGACCCACAGGCAAACAAGCAGTTATGTAACCATGTGCTGAGTGCTCTGATGGGACTGGCAAGTGAAGAAAGAGTACAGGCAGTTGTGTGGTAGGGAATGGGTGTGGGAGAAATTGGGTGAAAGGGGTCAAAAGGTATAAACTTCCAGTTAAAACATGAGTCAGTTTTGGGGGTGCAACGTACAGCAAGCTGACTATATTGGGTATTTGAAAGTTACTAAGGGAATCAATCTTCAAAGATCTGAAAAAAATGGAACTATGTATAGTGAATGTCAACTTGACTCATTGGGGTGATTATTTTGCAATAATTCATGCTGCACAGCTAAAACTAACATAATGTTATATGTCAGTTATATGTAAGGCTTTTAAATAAAGCTATAGGAACATCTGGGAGAAATACCTCAATTGTTCTTGGGAGGAAGGAATCCAGAAAGATTTTACAGAAGTGATGGCCTCTAAGA